CATTCTTCTCAAAGGTATTTTTGTTCCCCGAATTCAGAAGCACCGCATCAAGTACCGAAAACGCCTTTAGTAGTGCATCTCCCCGCCTGTTTGTGTGGACGCTACCCCATTCCACTGCCCATGCATTGAAGTCCCCTGCTATAACGTTCATTGTGGTGGTCCGGACTTCTTGAACCAAACTGTCTAGGATGTTCTCGTATTCATTTTGTGGGATACTTGGTGGTATGTAGCAGCTATAAAAGTTAAAACCGTCTACCTTCGCTCGTGTGTAGTAGCTTTTACCAAGCAGCGGCTTTTCTTGGAAAGCTTTTCCTCCGCATGTCCATATTGCAGCTTTGCCTGTGAGGTCCGATATCCATGCTCCACTGTCTATATTTTTATACTGCTCGCTGATTATTGCTATGTCCACCTTCTCCTCGTACACCGTTTGCCTGAGCAGCTCTTGCGCTGCTTCGCAGTGGTTGAGATTCAACTGCATGACTCTCATTTTCTTGATTTCTTGCACGCCTCCTGGTATAGCGGACACCTCCAACTACCTATCTGGTGCTCGGTGTTCTTTCTTCCCTGGTTTTTGCATGCTCTGCAGTGTGGCTTTTTGTCGCAGGCTTTCGCAGTGTCCATTTTCTCCACATTTTAGGCAGCATTGACTTCTGTCTTCCGCGTTTTTGCAGTCTCTCGCTATATGGCCATATTCCAGGCACCTGAAGCATTTTTTGGGGTTCGGTTTCTCCCTTACTCTGCACACAACCCATCCTATCTTTATTTTCTGCGCGTCAAGAAGTAATCTTGCCTCCTGCGCTGGGAGATTTACCACCGCGGTTTGTGTGCCCGCATAAGCCGCCCTGATGCTTTTTATCGCATTCTCGTTAAGGTGGTTTAGCTCCTTTATCTGGTTGCGGATGGCCTCGGCAATTTCTCCTTGGTGGTAATCTCGTCCAGGTCACGGATTTCTACCATCGTCTCGTGGGTTAGGGCTCTGATCTGTGCCTGGTCCCCTAGAAGCCTACCTATTTCGCTCTTGAGTTCGCCCGTGTCCTTCATTTGCGTCTCCTTAAGCTGCAGCAGTATTTCACCCTTGACCGTCTTTCTGATGCGTGATACGCTCTCGCCGAGTTTCTGCAGCGCCTCTTCCTTTTTTACGGTCCTTAGTATGTCGCTGTAGGTCATATCTCCCGTCCGAGCTATAATGATGGCATCTGGCCGTGGTGGTGGTTTGTATGCCATCTTCTTTTTGCCATGTGACCTGCGTTGGACCTCTACCCATTTTCCTTCTTTCTCCACCTCCTTCTCCTTAATCTTGCCGGAATTTTCGTTTGGCGCCACCTTACTCTGTTTGGTTGCAGGGTTGGTGGTCACCTCCTCCTGCGTGGTTTTGTTTTTCTTGGGTGGCGTCCTACGCTTTAGTTGGCTTTCATCTCGGGGCCTTTTCGGGGTTTCAGCAGTCACCGGTATGTTGAAAATACTCCGTCTGCTTGCCTTTATTCTGGAGTACTCCTCCAGGACACTCGCATGCAGCTTTGTTAGTGAGCTGAGTATCTCTCGCATGCTATTGTTTATTGAGCGTTGTGGCGGGCACATTGCCTCCGTCAGCCTCTTAATAGCATCTCCGAGCTCCGACATGTAGTCTCCGTTCTGTTTGGCTCCCTTCATTTGAGGCTCGCTGTCTTGTAGTGCTGGTGGCGACGATCTCGTTCGTACCGGCTTCTCCACGCTAAGCGCCTTTACAGGCGACCGAACTAGTCTTGACGCACGCTTGAACGGGTCAGTTTCTGCAGTCGGTGTTCCCTGGGACGGGTCTGCCCCAAGCACCTTGCAGCCCCTGCCGTCCAGGTTTTTCGCGCCGCTGCTGGCTTCGTTTACATTGTTGTTGTTGTTGTTGTTTTTTCTCATTTTGGAATCCATTCTTTTGTTTTTGCCAGCGCATCGTGTGCAGGGGGGCGGGCCGAAATAGACAGGAACGGGTATACCCTCGGGGACTATGCCCCTACCCCAGTTCCTTGAGGCCTGTCCTTCGCTTTACCGGTCCCGGAAAACACGGACGGACCGGCGCTCGCCCGGGGCAACGCGGTCTACTACACCTGCGTCCAATGCACACTCCCTGACCAGGGACCGAAGTGGCTGGTTACTGATACGCACCGCGGCTGACACCTCGGCAGAGCACGCTCACATCACCGTCACTACCCCGCCAGCGGAGAAATCGCTGTAGGGATTTCGAAGGACTCCCAGTGCGCCGCAGCGCGTACCGGTCTGGATTGTTGTATCAGCCGCACCTAACATGGTGAACAAACGCTGAGCAGGAAGCCGTCCAATATGGAAGCCGTCGCGCCTGGGTTTTTTTTTTTGTAACTCATCATATGTATGATGAGGGGGACACATATTTCAAAGAGGCGGTGTCCACTCGCCACTATCACAGGAATTTCATCAGACTTGCTGGCTTTTATACCGCGTCCTCTATTCCTGCTGCTCATCGTCGGGGATTGCTTATTCGTTTAACCTTATTTCGCAACTAACCTGCTACTACAGGCCGTCCGGCTATCCGCGACCTGCCGACCCCCCCGGTAGCTTAGAGCCCAGCTATGGTGACCGTTCCCACTGGGAATCAAAGTCCCCACCCGGGCATAGGTATGTGTGTATATATATTTGTATGCAAGAGATAAACGCATTGATCTCTTATTTCAGTATGTATTACAATTTATGTGATTTTAAATTTATGTTATGATAAGCAGCAATCTTCGTACTCAGGCAACAAGATCACAGAGAATTTCGATTGCTTTGCTTATCATACATTTGACAGAGTAGTGGACTGTATACATATACGTAAATATTTTCTGTATGTAAATAAGTATGTTTTGTTTCTTGCATTGCATGTGCAGACAAAACGATCCTTTTCTAAATACATGTTCATATGGATGAGTATATGTTATTGTCTAAGTAGGTACACACATATGCACGTTATTTTTATGTTAAATTTTATTACCCTGGCAGATATGTACTCATGTTCAAAGGTGTTTGAACATATTGCCGAGGACAAAAAAGTGATTATTTGTGTACTGTGTATACATATATTTTTAAATGTTTTTACTACCTACATTTATTATCTTACTTAGGCAGATATACCCATGTTCAAAGATATTTGAACATACTGCCAAGGGCTAAAAAGTGTGAATGCTTTTTTTTTTAATTAAATTTATTTTTTTACCTTCAAAATATTTATTTTATATTTCTTGTGGCCAGGAAATCCAGTCCAATTGACACCCAGGAGTTCCTCCACCTTTGACGTGTTAATTTCTTCCTCTTTCGCCAAATCTCGGGAAACTCGCCTTGCTCTTTTGGCTTTTTATGCTCCCAACTTATTGTGGTTGCCGTTTCGGTTTCTGTGGTATATGACTCCTCAAAACTTGCACGAGAATGCGCGTTTAGTTTCTCCAAATGGCTGGTATCATTGTTGTAATCTGGATGCAGCAATTCAGTGATGACACGATTTACCTTTCGTATAACAGTAAATGTATCCGAATTATTAGTAGCAGCAGTGTCGCCATCAACTTTAGCAGAGCTCTTAGAGTCCGCCTGATGTGTTGAAAGTTCTACACTGGGCATTCGCTTCACTAAACATTCTTCCGCAACTTCAGGTGTTACGTCTTCGTTCACGGGTTCTTCTTCTTGGTTTTCCGCTTTTACCATCGTTTTTTCGGCAGCGGCCATCACCATTTCGTCGCACATTTTGCTAAAATGTGGGCCTGCCGGGGGACAAACAAATTCTTGTATGGTATCTGTACGCATTTTCACTGTGTCAGCTACTCTGACACTTTTTCTGTTGGTGTACGATGCACTACTTTGTGGCAAGACCCATTCTTCTTTGGCATCCGCTCTATTTTTAAATTAGAAGTGGAGACTGTCACCTCTAGGTTTTTGTTATTAATTTCTTGAGCTAAGTTCTTAATTATTCGCATTTCTTCCTCGTAAGCAAAACGCTTAGGATGACTTTCGAAAAAAATCTTTAATTATGTCAAACCTCATTTTGCTATAGCTACTAAAGAGTTCATTGATTGACTCATACGATCTTTTCCAGGATTTTCAGAAATACTCCTGGTTTTTCATCGGAAATTTCCTCTCTGGCCCATTTTGCCAATTTCCAAAATCGATCTATTTGTGTCTGGATTTTCCTTTCCAGACTTTTGGCTTTTCCAGCTTCACCAGATTCTGCCATATTATTATTTTTTATTACTGGATTTAATTAATTGAATACTGTTTTTTCTTCTCCAAAAGAACCGTTGGAGGAAATTGGTTTGGTCGCCTTGTTGACCTTGCTGTGCCTCGACTCACAGCCGTTGTTTGTTCTTTTGGATACAATAAATAGATTATGCGTAAAGTCTCGTGCTTTAACGACTCACAAATCTGATATGCCTATACAATTGATAGGGCTTCTTTAATTTAAGTGTGCCTATACAATTTATAGGGCTTTTTTATTTTGCCTATACAATTACAGGGCTTTTTTGTTTTGCCTGTACAAATACAGGGCTTTGTTTGTTGAGCCTATATAAATAGGGCTTCTTTTCATAATGCGTCAAGTCTCTTGCTTGGACGGCTTACATACATTTATTTTGCTTGGTAATGCTCTTTTTTCTTTAGAGGCTTACAATACTTTCGATTGAGCTCAATTTTTTAGGCTCGTATGGACCAAATGTTCGTAGCAGAGCTGAGTCACTTGTTCCTTACCTCGGGTGGGGGGTAACAAGTAACGCTCAGCAATGCGCGAACTACAAATACTCTTATTTTAAAATTCTCTACCCCTTACCACTGGTGGGGGGAAGTAGAGTTTAATAAAATAAGAGGTTAGTACTTTCAATATTAATAATTTTACCCCTTACCGCTGGTGGGGGGAAGTAAAACCTTAATAAAGAAAGAAGAAGACAGATAGTTAGATGCTTTACCCCTTACCTCTGGTGGGGGAAGTAAAGCATAAAATATAAAAGAAAGAAAAGAAGCGTGTTATTGAGAGTCTTTACGAATCTGAATAATTTATTCAACATTTTTCTTTTATATACAATTTTCTAACTCTATTTCCTTAACTAATTACATATGTATGTGTGTGTATATGTACATGTGCATGTACGTATGTATATTTACATAAGATTACCAACCAATGCCTTGGTCTTCTAATTATATTTTTATTGCTTGCATGTGCATCGGCTATATACATGCAAAGCCTATTATCTAATGCATTTTCTAATGCATGCATAGATATGTGTGTATATATATTTGTATGCAAGAGATAAACCCATTGATCTCTTATTTCAGTATGTATTACAATTTGTGTGATTTTAAATTTATGTTATGATAAGCAGCAATCTTCGTACTCAGGCAACAAGATCGCAGAGAATTTCGATTGCTTTGCTTATCATACATTTGACAGAGTAGTGGACTGTATACATATACGTAAATATTTTCTGTATGTAAATAAGTATGTTTTGTTTCTTGCATTGCATG